TGAAATGCTTTTGTTTGTGGTCTGGGGTTTTTTTTGTTTTTTTTTGTGGTTTTGTTTCCAGCATGTTTTGACTCCGTGTCAACACATCTGCGATAGTCAAACATCAAAACACATACTTCCCCTTTTTTCCATTCCTGTACCACTGCCAAATAATTCTGAAAGTATCTAATTAAATCAAGGAAAAAAAATTGCCGGTACATTTCTCCTTTCTTCCCATCAGCATAGCCACAGGAGTAACTCCTTGTATGTTTCTTAGCAAAATAAAAGATGTAACCCCAGTGTGATGCCCGTAGACCGCTGACCGTCTAGATGTCTAGAATGCAAAATTCACTCAGTTGGTTTACACATAAAAGGCAGAGATAATTAGAGGAAAAAATGTAATTCATCGTACGTTTGATAATCAGTCTGATTTGGTCTCCTATCTGCACCAGAGCATTCAAATAACCCCCCTACTATTAGCACCCCACTCTCCCTCACACCAGTAGTCTGTTTTGCCCTCCCTTTGTTCCCATACAAAACATTATCATTATTGTAGCTAATTGCATGGTTCGCCTTGAAGTTGGGCTGGAGACTCGTGATCTGAGGTTGAAACGTGGACAGCGATCCAGTCTTCTCCACAGCTTGCTTTACACTACTAATTGCCGTTACCACAGGATAAGGCATGCTCCTCGCTGTGGCCAGCCGGACGAGGCTGGAACAGGCACGGGGCGGGTTGGTTGGAGGGGGGGGTGGGGCGGGGGCACTATCACACAAGGGTGGTAAGACGTGGGAGGGAGAGCCAAAGGGTGGCATAACTGAAGTGCGATGGGTAGGCCAGATTGGGGAGGGAAAGGATGGCGGTCGGGGGTAAGCGGGGGGGATGGAACCAGTGTTAGATGTGGGTCGGCGGGAGTGGAGTACCCTAAAGATTACAGTTGGTTAGTGCGACCCCTCCCCGACAGGATCTGAGCCTTTGCTCCCAGCAGAGGTGGACCGTGGCATTCGGGAAACCCGGCTATTAGTGAGGCTAATAAAGTTTTGAACCTTCCGGTAGTCCAGAGATACCGTCCTGCCACACGTCCAAAAGCTGGATCTTACTTATTATTATCGTCCCACGTGGCAGCAGGGAGACATTACATTGTTGCTGGAAAGACTCGTGGTGCAAAGGCATCAATGGACGACCGTTTTAATTTCACAAACCGTAGGGTGATTGTGTTTTCATGAGCACATCTTTTCTATTATCTTTGTTTATTAAAGAAGTGTAATGTGAGCGATGAGTTCATCTAACTCTGAAAATCTGAGATTTGTGCGCGCTCTGATAGTTTCTTAATTCATATGGGAGCGTTAGTTTTACACCACAGTATCAACTTCCAACTTCAAAATGAGTCAGAGCTCCCCGATGGGGTTTGGGAAAAGGAAATGGAATCACAGACATAACTAGTGACAAAGCCTCCATCACCTCATAGAAGATCTCACTCCATCTGTGAGAACTTTGGGTCTACCCTAGAAAAATAATAAATATCCTTCTCTCACGGCTGACGCTCATTTTGTTCAAAAGGTGGTTTCAAGACCAAACAAAGGAAATGGTGTCATTAATGATATATATATATATATATATATATATATAACTAGGGCCTCTTAGAACCGTTTCCTACAAATGCACGGATAAGGGGTTGATCTCTTTCCTAACAAAGGATCTCTAAAATATGAAGTGAAAAGCTACCCAAGATGAAGCTGGTGGAGAAACAAGCGAGGAAGAGCCTATTTCCTCAACACAAACAGATTTCCTGGCCTTTAGCAGTCTCTTACTGGGATACTTTGAGACATATCCATCAAAACACAGCTGTATTCATTCATATTTCATACCTCCTCCTTCTCCCAGTGCTTTAACGCTGTTCTTTGATCAAAGGAGAGAAGTCGGATCACAACAGGAAGGTTCACTGTCAGCCTAGAAGGAGAAGGAAGGCCAATCCACTACTGTACTGTGCGTTCTGCCGTATATATGTTTGCTGTACTTCAACTTCAGTCACAAAATGAAAAGAAGAAAAAAGAAACAAGAAAACTCACAAACGCAAAACTAAAGAACACGAGAGAAATGTACGACTCTCCACCGATGAAGTGCTTTTATGTGAATTTCCACGTGTTGTAATGAGCTCGGTTTCAGGCCACGTAGAGCTCGGCTGCAAAATTGTACAAAATACTTTTTTTTACTGCAAACACAAACTCCATCAGTCAGCGTGCAGGAAAATTAACAATTTTCCTATAGAGCTACATGTGATTGATTGAAGTCTTTGTTCATTTTAGAGGAATAACAGTTTCTGCAAAGTTAAGTGATGGAATTGCTGAGGGGCCGACAGCCAGGAGCCGATGCAAAACACGCAGCTCAAGAGTGTCACCATGTGGAGACGCGTGGACACGACAAAGCAGCGGGACGGCAGACGCTCGGCTCGGTGAGAGCAGCCGTAGCTCCGTTTCTTCCCGTGACCAGTTCCTCCGATTTTATTTTATTTTTTAACATAATTCCATTAAATTATTTTTCATGTCCACTGCTTTAGATTAGGCCTTTTTGCGTCCCCTCTCCACCTCGACGCCACCTTGTCAATTCCAAGACGTAGCCCTTCCAAAGAGCTTTTTTTTTTTCCTAGTAAGGCTTAGGTAGAAAAAGTGTTTGAAGACCTCCCTGACATTTAGACTGTCTCTGAAGATGACTTTGCCTTCTACTGTAGCCTGCGGGAACATAGCAAGACCCGCACTAAACTTCAGTTGATATGCAGGGGCCAGATTCCTCCAGGGGAAATTATCATTCGGTTAATAATAAGAACCACAACAAGCACCTGGAAAAGGACTTTATTATACACTCGGCTTCAATAAAAGTTTCTCACGACCCGTCGGAAACACACACACACACATGGTGCAGGGAGCATAGTTGTGATGAAATAAAAACTGTATTATGCTTATGATAGAAAGCTTATCTGCACATCTGCTCGGGTGCGCTTGAATGGCAGGTGTGTTAATGGCGTGCTGTAGCCTTGGACGGAGGTGCTCTGAGACCTCCTTTTCCTGAAGCCATTATCCAAATATGTTGTGTTTTTCAAACAAAATGAATGGCACAAAAATCAAAGTATCAAAAAATGTATTGCCCTTCATAATGGAATTCCCTCTGAGCAAGGACATGTAACAATGGGCCATTCTCAGCTTCCTGTGCTTTCCCTCTCTATATGCCAATGGACGTGACCTCCGCGGCGTTAACAATGGGGCATCCAGCAGCATAAGCACTTGGCTTCACGCCACAGTCACTACGCGCAGTGCGGTTGCTTTCATCTTTGTTGTTATATTTAAGGATGACATCCTAGCCTGTCGGCCTCCGCTATTGTCTCCACCGTGATTATTTTCTACCGTTGTTTAGCCCCAGTTGTGGCTCTTTGATGAAAAGGTCGCCACTCAATTGGAAAACAGTCATTAAAATGCAGTGGGTACTATTCACCGGCGTTCATGGGGGAGCCAACTCAACTGAGCTGGTTAATCAAAAGTTAATTATATAATTTTCATGCAGATGAGGGAAACATTCAAATGAATCCCAACTCTACAATCATTACAGAAAATAAATAAATAAATAATTCTAAAATGCTATAAAATGTTCAGGGACCAGGAGGCTGTAAACAATATGAAGTTTAATTTGAGGTAAACAAAGTGAATATCCACCAGGGGGTCCGGGAAGGAGAAAGTGAGGTTAAATCAAATTTGGAAACATAGATACCAGCAGGTTTTGTTGTCCCGATGTACGTGCAATTAGGCAGAACCTTGATGAGGACACTGGGACGCAGAAAGTTGGCTTTCACAGCAAATGCTTGGGGATTCTTTGAAGTGAATTCATGGGATTTTAGGCTTTATGTGTCAACATGAATTATTCTCACACAAGTATACCAAATTGAATTAAAACCATATTTTAGGAAATATTGTAAAAGCATAATTAACCTTTATTGGTATGCTGCAAAGTGATTGAATACTCCATAAAGATAAGGATAAATCAATTCAAGTAAGTCTCATAGTTTCTCTCAGGACAACATTTTATTCTGTAACTTCGTCAAAGAAGGCGAAGTAGAATGTAGCCCTTTAAAAAACGTATCTTAGTCTTTCCTCAACCAAGGAAATGATTGTATTATGCAAATTGCGGCCATGAATATTAAACCAACGATGTGAAGTATCACAATTGAACAAGCGTTGTTCTGGAAGTGCAACGGAATGTGGTTTAATTCCTTTTTAATTCTATGTGCTTTTATAGTGTTCACCTTTTCCCAGTTGTGCCGAAAGGGTTTGGGTTCATTGGCGTGCATTACGACCCCGATCGAACAATGCGGGGCCTCCACGGTGTCAGCACAGTTCATGAATCCTCGCCCCTCATGCACCAGGCGATTAATATGGCGCTCTGTCTGTGGGGCTTTGCCAGAAAATGAGTTCTCTTTAAAACATATGCCCCCTGCTGATTCTTTTCCTTTCCTGATATGAAATTCCAATTTTTATAATGAACACCAATTTCCTGTTCGGATGAGAGGGGGTGGAAAAGTTTTACCCTCGCTCTCTTTTGGCAGGCGGCAGTTATCCCTAAATTTGCGGAAAGCTGTTGAGGACATCACGAGCAGGAAATATTTTGTGTCTGTTAGTTTGGGGGGGGGGTAATCAACATTCTGGTACGAACACAAAAGTCAGCTGCTTTAATTTTCCACATCACATATGCACACGACCGGTGTGGCAGAAAATAGAATTAGCAAAACTGTAACAAATTCAATTAAGTCATTGATTTCTAATAAATTGGGCTAATCACCAGCTGTTGTCATGCTAAGATTGTTGTGTCACAAGTTTGTCATGCTTGTCGGTCGTGGCTCCTTTACAAAGGCAATTTTTTTTCAATTTAACGGCTTTAAGACTGCATTTTATATTCAATTAGTTTCCTAATGACCACATCTACGGAGGGAGATTACCAACTGATTATCCGACTGAAAAAAAACAACATTTGATAACCATCAGATTTCAAAAACTTTATTACAATTTCAAATGGGTTTAAATGTTACAGACGTCCATGTAATTGATCGCTCCCGTGAAGTCAGCGTCCTGCATTCTGGAGATCCATCGCAGGCGTTGATGTAGATGAAGATGAAGATGCTGTCCCTTCTTTTGTGGCATCTTCAATTATTTTGGAACTTTCTCTTTCGCTCAGAATGACTGTAATCATCATTCATCTGAAGACATAGAAATTAAATCTCAGTGAACAGTTTGATCTGCTGCTTGAGTATTTGGTACAACGAATGTATCCTTCTTCATTCACACATACGGCACCAAACCGAACCGTTTTGAGCCAATTAGCATTTTCACCCAACATTCAAAAAGATTCAATTGAGCATTCACACATCTTATCAGGCAAAGAGGGAAAAATAAAACCGTCATTGAGCGGTTTGTATATTGTCATTGCTGCTAGGGAACACAATGGTACACAGTGGTGTAGTGTTCATTAATATTGTACAATTGAAGTAGACATTGGTGATAAATTATGTATAATAAGCACTTACTGCATTGTATGGTTTAAGTCTCTCTTGGGTCTGGGCACTCGCCTCTTCTGGAAGAGACTCAACTCCTCCCGTGCCCATCATCTAAGTACAATAAAGTATAGTTTTTAGTCGATGAAAACCAACAGAATATTGTTGAAACACTGTGGGGAAAAAAGAGTCAGGCTTAAAGAATTTTATATAAGTATTTCCTTTTTAGATTAGATTATTTCCTCCAAAAGAACGCACATGCTGAAACTGTGGACTCCACATATGAATAAAAATAAAATCGCTCACCCTGATGGTAGCCTCCAGCTCTCCCACACTTCTCTTCCCACCTGGTAGCCACCCATAGGACCAGTGCTGGGACAGAGTGACCTGGACCACCAACGCCAACATCAACACCTGCACCATCGCTCTGCTGCTCGCTTCCATTAGAGCTGCAGAGGAAGCCAAAAAAGTGAAAAACAATAAAATAATGATTTCCCAGCTTATTTGCTGACAGCTCCATGCCTCGCAGACCGGGGGGGGGGGGGGGGGGGTTTTAAAGCATTCGCAATAGCATTTTAGACAGTAATACATGGGGAGCGGGTCTAAATGAAAGAACATTGGGCAAACTTTGTTGAGGACTCACCTCAGTATTTTTCCTTGTTTGCATGTGGTGCATTCCCCAGAGGGGGATTTTTATAGGTGTTAGAAGACTGCTGTAAGGATTATAATCCCCTCTCTGCAGGTGTGACACATTTACTGACTAATGGAACACAAAATACTACTAATGGAGCCGGCTAAGTGCTCGGATACGCTGTCATCACCAAGAGGGTTCAAGCAACATGAAATATACATCATCTTATATATCAACAATATTATGTTTGTATTGAAGACATCTGTTCAGGGGCAGACAAAAAGAAAACATTAAGGGGGAAAACTCTCATTTTTCTCCATCTATAATTTATTTGAATCAGCTCTTAGCAAAACAAATAGTCAAAATCCATCCATCCAGATTCAAAAAGGCAGAAACATCATTGAAACAAGATGTTTGTGCATTTACGTTACATCAGCTGGAAGGCCTCACTGTCATTGCCCTTAATTCTTCTTCTCTCAGCATGGCAATACATTAAACCGACACATTGGAGATGATACATGACCACAACAAGAATATATGTACAGTGTACAATGTGTCAAGTATAAACCCATTTTACTATTTAATGGAAGTACAAACTCAGTAGAAAGTTTTTCCCCCAAATCAACACTTCCGAGTTCACTGATCAACAAAGAAGTGAGCAGAAGCCTGGCGAAAATAGAGGCATTTGATTTTGTGTTGGGGTTTCCGTGTTTAAATATCACTATCAAAACGCCAAAAGGCCTGTGCATGCATCTATCACATTTTGGCTGAGCACTGGTTCTTAATATCAGTGCGTTTTATACAACGTTCAACTCTCTAATCAAGTGTTTTATTCAAACTCAAATTTATGCAGGGTTTCTATTCTTAATTTATCACATTTATTTGTAAAAACTAATATTAACCTACATTTGTTATCGTAATACCTTATACTATTCTGAAAAGAGCAATTAATTGATGAGCCATTGAGGATACCACCATTCAAAAACAATGGACTTTTAAAAATGTCTCTATGATATTAAATTAAACACAAACATCTGGCTTGTCTGTATTGTGTCACTTGGTGACAAGTTCTTTTAATGATTAGAAGTGTCTTTCTAATCAATATGGCACTGCTTTATGCAAACATGCACATGTAAGTCTGTTTGCTAATGTGAATAAAAATGGATGGAGATGATGCATCGCTGTAAAACACCTAAAACAATGACACGTTCAGCTGTAGTAAGACAGACTTTTCTGCCTTTTCCAATGTGGGCTAATTGCATTTTGCAGCGTCAGTAGTCAAACCACTAAGTAATATTGCCACAGGCAACACAAGAAAGTTGATGAAGTTGAATAAAATTGCAACACGCAGCAGCTGTTCAGTTATTCACTGGCTGAAGTGAGATATTCTTCCAGCACATAACAGATTAAAATGTATCTTGAGTTTGGATTTTTCGTTTGAGTTGAAAGTAGATCACAAATACTATTTAGACGTCACATGTCAGACGGGACATGTCGTTTCAGCAAGAGCAGCACTTCTTCTAGCCACAATACGTTCTCCTTATATTGCTTTAAACATATTTAGAGTCCAACACAAAATACACAAGTAGTCATTGTGGTCAGTAAGAAAATAAAGCAGAAATAAAGAACGCATGAAGTCTACGACACGTTAGTGATGTATTTCAGGTAGTGAGCAATACATATTATATATTTCTAGACACGTTATTTATTACTTATATCTGAATAATTCCTTTATTCTACCTCATAATGTTGCAACATATGAAAGTTGTTGACCTATAAAGAACCCAACACACTCATTAATAAACCACTATAGTTTCTATATATGACATATGGGATACTTGAAGATTATGCGATCCTAAAAGAGAAATACTCTCCTGCAGCACACATGTTTTCAATTATATTACACAATGTTACAACAAGTTTGTTTTGATCTGTAATCAAGTGCAAAATGTAAAAAGAGCTTGCTTTAGAAAACGACATTCAGAAAAAAAGGAACACATTTGACGGAGGAATACAGAACAGCATCCGACGGGTGTTATTTAAAATTGGCATAGTCTGAGAAAATGTCAACAAAATCCTGAACCACTCTGTAGCAGAAGTCGTATTGCTCCTGGAGGGGAAAGCAGAAGGGAGAGTGTTATTGTGCAATAATGTAATGCAGAAGAAATTCCAAATTAAAAAAATGTGATTCAGCTGGCTTTAAGCTTTGGCTTCATCTCCTCTCTTTTTTTCCACCTTACCACAGTCTGAACCATGTGTGGCCTCTGCATGCGTAAACTCTTGACAGTCTGAAAAACGTCCAGGAGGCCTTCAGCTTTCACCCTCTCTAGAATGTTACTGAGGGCAACAAAGGTACCGGTCCGACCCGCGCCAGCGCTGAAACATGAAGGAAAACACCGTCAGTGACCACGTAACACTGGAAAGCCTCCGAAAAAAGGGAGTAGCTGAAGCACATTGAAACCACTTCTCCGTTTCTTCACGCTGCAATGACTCTTCGCAGCACATCCCTTTTTGTTCCCCCAATTTGAATGAAAAAGTTTGCAGGAGCAAAAGGTGACCTTTGTGTAATAGTCCTAATAATTATCCTCACTTAAAGAGAGGCTAATCCAAGTGCTAACACTAATCAGTTTGGAAGCTCGGTGTTTGACTGAGTCAATGTTTACAATGGCGGTGGGATGGAGGAAGAGAGACGGGGAGCGACTGCGAGAGTGATGTGCGATTCGGCGGAGAGGAGCGGAGAGACGTTGGGGATTGCAGCGGGTTAGCCCCGTTTCCCAGGGGCACAGGAAAAGCTTTAAAAAGCCCTTCTTAGACAAGTGGTGATGAAGGAATAGGAGAGAGTGATGACACCATTTCCTGTCGTTAGCTCATCTTATCAGATTAATCATGGTGGGAGTCAGAGGAGATTTCACTTTGAGAGGTTTTAATTGACTGTGAATCAGTGGATTGGATCAATCCCAGAGGGCCGTGCTGCTTTAGAATCACTTCACCTGAAGCTAGGTTCTGATCAAAGCTTTCACAGCTAAGTCTTTATAAGGGATCACATAAGTGGTTTAGGCATAGAACACCAGGTCTACCGGGGTAGAAAGTAGAATTTACAGTAACAGCCATTTGCAAGAAAGAAAAATAAATGCTAATTTCCGTTCGATATCACCGTGAAATATTCAAATTAGCCGGTGAAAATGTGAAGGAGTGGAATTAACAGCATGAGTGGACAGAGACGTGATTTTCCTCTGAGGATGCACATCACACGGCAGTATTGTCAAGCTGAAGTTCCTTACCTGCAGTGCACAATTATGGGACGGTTTCCAGACTGCTGCTGCTGCCTCTGCACGGCGGCAATAATGTCAATCATCCCTCTTCCCTCGGCTGGTATTCCAATCTCAGGCCATCCGTGGAAGTGGAAGTGTCGGACATGTTGTGACTGCTTTTCCTGGTTGAGACGGAGAGCTCGCTGTGTTATTTTAATGCAGGTAAAAATGGCAGCAATGAGGACATTTTTGTGAACTTCAAACTGACAGGACAACGAAAACGGGGAGGCGAATGTGTCAATTCAAAATGTATATTTTGCTGCTCTTGAATGTTATAATGTGACTTTACGCACTGGTCCATAGGTGAGCACCATGTCTTTGAGAGTGAAGGTTTCACACTGAGTATCTCCAGTCAGCGCCACAGAATAATCTCCAAATGTTACACTGCCCTCTGATGGCCAATACTGGAAGCACTTTTCCTGTTTGGAAAGGTCACAAGGAAAATACAATTAAGCTTCATGTAAACCGATTTATGCCCTTTGTCTTGTTTTTATATTTTCACTTTTATTTTCAGAGTGCACCGCAGACGTAGATTAGAAAAGCGTACGCAGACTGTCAGGAATAATAAATAAGTAAAACAGGATTACGAAATAACCTAATAAAAAGAAAGATGGCTTAGATGTGAAACTCAAGCACAATACTGTACCTGCTCCCTCTCTTTGAGTTCGGTGAGCATAACGATTGAATGACACCTCCACTCCCACACCATCCTCCAGAAGTCCTCCACTGTGTGAGACAGTGGGCCCTGGGTTGCGATAAAATAGTCCTTCTGCCTGTAGCCCTGCAGGGCAGATCATACCGGTAAACAAACACATGCAAGTGCAGCAAACATAATATTTTACATTGTTTGTGAAGGAAACAATGAGCTTTATATATATTTCTATGGAAAATCTATACAGGAGGTCGTGAGGTACCGCTCACATCAATAAAGGAGGCATTGACGTAGTCGGTGAACTCGTGTCCTCGTCTCACTGAGAGCATTACTCGGTTGAAATCATCTGCGAAAAAGAAGAAAAAAAAAGGAAAATGAAAACTTTCCACGAGTGATTCCTGGTAAAATAAAAGTTTTGAAGAGGCTGATGGAACTGAAAAACCGTGACGTAAAAAAAAACGTTGTAGCCAGCTTTCCGTCCCCTCTCTTCCCCCCCTTACTTTCAGGTCATGATACAAGCTTTATTTAAATGCCGTTGATCACACACACACGGGGTGGAGATATCTGTGTACGCCGTCAATAAAATCACCAGCGGTGGGATTCTTTGATGTTCCTCGGAAGTGATGTATTATGAATAGTGTTCGGAGTATCCGGAGCAGGACTTACACGGGATGATCTGAAGCACGCGGTTCTTCTTCATGTTGGCAGGGAGGTTCCCAGTTCTCATGTTCTCCTTCATTATGCGGACGTTGGTCAGCTTCTGACGGGAGAAAACGCCAGCGGATCGACGTTTGTTTTTTACCGGTACAATGCTGGTAAATATGCAGACAACATCTAACTAAGAATGATGCAACAAGGGAAAAACACAGAGGCTGTTAAAAAAGAAAGAAAAGAAGAAAAACGAGGAAGAAGATGCAAAAGGTAATAATCAAATTAAGTTGAGTAGCAAAAATGTGAATGCTGGCAGACGGCGGTGCCTTATGAAGCTTTGGTTGATTCACAGCTTTGTGTTTAATCTAACCACTGCCAAAAGTGGCACCCTGGGCATTCCTTTCACGAAAATACAACTATGTAGGGGACAGGGTGATGGAGACGATTAATTACTGACTGAAATATTCAAGAGCGAGCTTCCGTCTTCCTACCCTGAACTCCTCTTCCAGGCCCAGCCTGTCGTGGGGAGCTCTGGTGTTGTGAAGCCTCTGCAGATGTCCCTCCAGAGAGCACACATCCAGCTCCGTGTCTCCATACAGATAGTACTCCAACAGAGCCTGGTAGATGAAGGAGTACTGCATCTGAGGAGGAAGACGAGGAGGAAAAAGAAGTAGCTTTATTTTGATTTTTTTTATATATATATAGCTATTTTCCTTCTATTTTGTATCTCAGACGCGGCTGTTTTCCACGTCCTCGCTTGTCTCCGCCGCGACTGGAGCGGCGCGTCGAGCTGTCAGTCCAAGGTACAACAGGTCGGGGAGGGTCAACGCTTACATCTGTCTGGATGAGCTGACAGCGCTGCTCCCGCATTCTGCTCACAGAGCCAAAGACATCCACCCTCTGTTCCATGTGCATCATGTCGATCATGCTGTCTATGACAATAAACGTCCCCGTCCTCCCCACGCCGGCACTGCGGAGACGCAGAGAAGAAGAAGAAGAAGAAGAAGAAGGGCTCCTCCGTCAGCACGTTGCGTGTATATTGTACAAATAGGAAAGAAGGAAACAGTACAGAATAATGCACGCACAAAGAGAAAAGAAGCTTGTGCGTTCTAGTCTGTAATACGTAGATGTCAATTGCGGACGGCCTCGAGCACGCGTAAAAACGCTTCACCCCTGGAACCCAAACGTTCTGCTAATAGATTTACACAGGTCATTTCAGCAGACGGCACCACTGGGAGCGGAGCTGGGATTCCGCAGCGGGGAGCTGAGGCCTCATCAGAGGGACCCATTACAAGAACAACAGTCCCTGAGCACCTGTTGCAGCAGTCGCAGCGATCGGCTGCTCATTTCTTTGTGTGAGGCTTCAAACCAGAACACATGCTTTATAAAATAATGAAAATATATGAACTCTATTTAACTATTAAACATCAAGTGAGTTTTTCTTTTAGCTTTTATTCCTCCAAAAATTCTTAATGCAACTTGAATCGAACCGTCTTTGCGGGTTGATTCCAGTGTGCACATTTTACCTGCAGTGCACAACGATGGGTCCAGCGTAGGACGGATTGACAGTTTTGACCTTCTTGAGGAATTTCAGCATGCCGATGGGTGAGAACGGCACCCCGAAGTCCGGCCAGCTGGTGAAGTGGAGCTGGGTGACCAGCCGCGGAGCCCGGAGGCCATCGCTGCCCTGCTGTGGAGCGCAGACACACAAGGTCAAAACCTATTCACCGTGCAGACCCGGGGAGCCGACAAAACACTTTTACCCGCTTAGCGAAGAAACCTCAAATTAACTGAAACATAAAACAAATAGAAAAGTTTTGCTACTTGCGACAGAATACGATTATTAAACATGTGCACTGGTTTCCTCTCTCGTATTTCATGGATGCTCTCTCAAGAGAACATTATTCTCTTGAAAAGGCCGTTGTCCTGTTTTGAAAAAGCTGAATGTAGAAGCACTCAGCCTGTTCAGCTTGTGCTGCAACTTTCAGTCAGAGTCAGAGAGGATATCTGCACTTCTCCGGCTTCAAATGGAAAGGGAACAAAGTGAATTTTGCAATGTGAAGGCTTCTCAGTACACCGAGATGGAGCCGTGCTCAGTAGTCAAGAACACAGGATGAGAAGTGCAGTGTGTGAAGCTCTAAAGATGAGACTTTTGTAGTGTTTTACTTACGTTTAAATGCGTATTGCTCTCATGCAGTCTGTCTGCACATATCCTTTAACGATCCTTAATTTGTTATAATTTGCATTCTATTAAAGCCTTCTCCATGGCAAACATTACTTTATTACACCATCTAAAAGCCACTTTGTTGTTTCAATTTTAATAAAAACCTTGCTATTATCAATATAGATTTTTCATAGCAATTAAGTATATTATGGACAACATTTTGGTTATAATTACTCTTCGGCTGAAAAAAGCAACACTTATTAAAATCATTAACACTCTGATATACAGATCCATATATTTTACTTACATATTGAACACAAAATTTTCTGATGGTGTAGTCCACTAGTACGGTGAAGTCCTCCATCGCCACCCGCACGTTTCCGTACATCCAGCAGCCTTTTTCTGGCCAATACTGGTAACATTTGTCCTTGTAAGAGAATCAAAACAACAACGGAGGTTAATCTTCAAACTAGAAGACATTGATGTGTATGAAGAACACATGTTGGGATCACCGTCATCGCAACTCACAAATGGTTGTGAATCCCCACGTTTGCTGCACATTGTCCCTGCGCGTATATAGGAACGCGTATTTGGTGCGCGTGTGTTTATCAATCCGATCCAAAGGCATTGACGGGGACTTTCTGAGAGTCTTGTCAGTCAACGAGATCGTTACGGAGACGTCTCAACTCGTTAACCACGTTCTCGGAATAATTATCATGAAGCCTCTTAGGATCTTATCAACAATTATTCCGTCATCGATCGCCGATGCCTCTCTATCAAACCCGCCGTTGACTTCTCAATTGATCGTCCCTTTGAGGGTGAACTTGATGCGAGGCTCAGTAATCTGCGGGGTGTCACTCTGTATAGATTATCAGTTGGGAAAGGGGTCAAACAAATCATGCCCATGACTTTGGATCATGAGAATACACCGGGTTTCCACTAATGGTGCACTGCAGCCATATAGATCGTGTAGGTTCATTGTGTAACACGCAGCCCTGTTTTTTAACATTAGTGCAGAGGAACAACTCTTAAGACAAACCTCTTTCCTTTCCTTCAGATTTGTCAGCATCACTATAGTCGCTGTTTTCTGTTCCCAAATCATCCGCCAGTAGTCAGCCACTGTTTCAAGCTTTGGGCCTGAGGCAGAATAAAGAAAATAGTATGAAAAAATGTCATAAACTCAACTACTTAAAACATGCGTTGAAAAACTAAACTAGGCTAAAATGTACATTTACCTTGAGCTGCGATGAATTTATTCTTCTCCTTAAAACCCTTTGAGAAAAAAGCATAGTATTAATAATAATGTATTAATTTATGGTGAAATCAATCATCTGCAATAATAGCTTGATTGCACAAAGACTCACATCGATGTAAGATGCATTTATGTAGTCTGAACACGGATGTCCATCAAGGTGATTTAACAACACTCTTGAATGATCATCTGTAAAAGAGAGAGGTCATTTTCAATTATTTTTTTTCATTAAGCCCACAAAAAATGTCAAGTCTAAAGGTTACATTAATATTGTCGGCAGCAGAATTTGGATCCTCACTCACATGGTAAAATGTTTGGGTATCTGTTCTTCTCTCGGTTGTGCTCTCTGCTGGCCTCCTCAAAGGACCCGTGGTGGTAGTAACACGGCAGCGACTACAAAGAAAGAACCCCCCCCCCAACCCCCACTAGATCATAAATAAAGCCAGGGGTACACAGCCTTCCAACATCACTTTTTATTACTATTTTCTGTACTTTTTCTGTGCTTGCAGGACAAAGATCTTAGTCAGACTGAAGCGCACAAACCCCCCGTGCTTACATTGAACTCCTCTCTGAAGAGCTTGCCGTCATCGGCGGAGCGTATCCGGTACTCCTCCTCCAGCGAGTCCAGAGGGATGGGGAAGTACCTCTTGGACGGCGAGGGAGATCGGGGAAGGAGGACCACTGTCTGCTCTCCTGTGTTAAAAAAAAGGAATATATGGCGGTCAAACAGCTAATGTTTCCCAATAGAGAACATTACAAGCTCTCATAGCACCTGCAAAAACAAGCCTCGTGGCCATTAAGATTTCCTACTTTTGTAGGTACATGACAGAAATGATTTCTTGAGTCATAAACATGCCGCTGCACATAACTCTCCACACTCAGAATGTGGCCTTTCCGTTAATTTATTTATTTCCTACTTGAAGGGGAAGAATATACGGCTCCCCGTGTGCTTGCAAAAACCAAGGGCCTTCAAAACCTTTCCAGCTACCTCTGACTTCAGATCGTGAAACTTTCCTAGTATATAAAGAATGTAAACCTGCACTTAAACTAAGAAGAAATTAAAGTAAAAGGCTGTATTATAGTTTCATGCACTGGTGGTAATATTGAGCACAACGTTACCTTGTTCCTCCAAGAAGCCATTGGGAATCTTTTTATCCACCGAGGTAACCAGAGCTTTCCTGTGGTTCTTGAACCTGCAGCGATGGACGTGGGAGGAGCAGAAAAAGCCCAAAACATCAGCAAGCCTAAAAAAGGGCGGATGTCTGTACCGAAGAGGTAAAACAAAAACAAAGGCCCACCCCAGTGTCTGGAACATAGCTTTTAAGCTGTTACGTTGAGCAAACAACAAACAGCAAAATCCATATCCACCAGCTGAGGGAGGCAAAGCTGTTGCTCCTCATGTGGCTGTCGGGAGGAAGGAGGTCTGAGCTGGCTGGTCAGGGAGTGAGTTTCGGTGACCCGAACTGACCAAGCTGTTGTTTTTTGATGTCTCAATTGAGGTGTTTGACCGTAAGCCACTGCTCACCGCCTGTTATCCAAATAATAACCCCCACCCGATGCCCGGACCCCCACCCGCTCACTCTGAAACAAATGAGGGAATGAGTCCCAAGTTGATTCACCTCAGACAGTAGATTGTCAGCAAGACGATGATGATAAGAAGCAGGGATATGACCAGTGTTGAGGGCAGCACATGAGCCCCCTGATGGGTGGGGTTCCCTGGATACAACACAGTTATCAAAATAGCATAAATCTAAGCATACGGTCAAACAACATCTATCAAAAAGTATCTATCAGAGGATGCAAGGTTGTGATTTAATGCTACCAAATTCAGCTTTTTCTGTTTTAATGACATTTATTATTATAAATATAATGAAGTCATTTCCACAATTACCTGAAGTTTGGTTCCCATGAGATGAATTAGTCACAGCAATAGAGATCCCAATCAGAAACAACACCATTGTCACTGTGGATTCAAAAGAAAAAACACAACAGTTAAAAAACATTTTAACATAAAAAAAAAAATCCCTGTATTTCTTCACACAGTCCACTAGAAGGCGCCTCATTGACAGGAAACGCATCTGCAGCGTGCTGAAGCATGCAGAGGCCAGAAAAGGAGGGCCACGCTTTGATGAGACTTGAGAGCGATGTCTGTCTCTCTGCCGAGCGGTTAAAGTCCTCGTGGGAAATCTGCTCGCCGTCTCGTCCTGCCGGGCGGACTTGAAAGAGCCGCAGCGTATCAAATAACCTGATATTCAGACATCAAACCGGAGAGGAGGCGTTAACCCTCAGGTGACAGTAACGGTATCCCCCCGTGGACCCCGGCGGGTTTGACACTCGAGTTGCGCTCAACGTAGCGTTTGTTGGAATCCGTCTCATTTTGCTGCGTTGTCTTTGATGTACAACAGGGTGAAAACCGGCAAAAGCCTCCAGCTCGGTGACAATGAGACATGCACGCCGTTCCTCAATGTAGTAGCTGCTGTTAAATACAGTGGACACCCCCCCCCCCCAGAGGAAGAGGATATTGATAAAGAGGGTCAAACCGAATGTAAAGATTAGCATACATGGTTATACAGAGTTCCTCTCTTACTGCAGCTTTTCTGCCTCCACCACACCGCCTCTCTTCCCCTCCCTCTTAAGCGAACTCTCAACCACATTCTCCCCTTTTCCTAGTTTTACTTCATTGCTGGAAGCTAATGGGGATTTATTTGGGCCAGAGCTCGATGACACCAAAAAGATGTGTCACGTTAAACACAACTACACCAAAATTAAAATAAATTTGACACTTTATGCTTGTGTCCTATTATCTCCAAAGGGGAGCTGCCAAAGTCTCAAAACTCACATCCATTTTGCCCAGTCTTCCATATAAAGAGGGTGATAAATCCCAGAATAAATTGGGCAAACAGGGCAGATCTGCCTAAATGGCTTTGATGGAATAAATGAGCGGCTCAAGAAGTGAGTGTCCTAATTTATCCTCTGTTCCGAGTGCCTCCCTCATTATAGAGGCCACAAGACTGGATGGAATAATTCATTGTGTCAATTTAGTTCATCCAGAAATGGGTCATCAAGGGGCCTAATTTGTGATGTTGGAGATATTTTCTTGCACATATGAGCATATAAGAAAATGGAGACACATGGTGCTCTAACAATGTCCTCTAAACTAAATTGATGTTGAAAATTATAAAGTATTATTGGCCAACAGATTAGGACCTCTGTTCTTTAACAGCCCTCCCCCCCGGAGTAATAGAGACACCGAGGATGCTGACCTGCGTGCACACGTACATTTGCACAACCTTTAATTAGAGTGTCACCAGCTGGACAAAACTCCTTTTATTTAGTGAGGTTAATGTGTCTATTTTTGTATTTATAATCTTTTGACGAACAAATCAAATTCCCTTTCTCAATTATGTAACATAACAAACAACAAACACACACAAGCACACTCTCTTTTTGTCACTTCCCTGCACACACGTCCCACAGCCAAAGGCTATGTGGTGCATATGTGCCGCATTCTGTCAGAGGAGCCGATTCCCTCCCCGGTGTTAACAAGCCGACACTGTGGGCACCTGTCCCCCCCCTCCCCTCTGGCCCCACTGGGTCAGTGACATTCTCTCTCACAATGACCCATCCTGCAGCTCGATGCTGCAAGGCATGCTGTGCGCATGGGTTACTGCTCGTGTCGCTGCGTGTTCGTCATCTCCTGGCAGCTAAGAGTATGGACGGCGTCCAGCCAGGGGATGAAGGAACAGAAGGGAAATAAGAAAAAACTAACAAATGCACTGTCATTTCAAATATATAAAAAAAGATAACTGTGATGAATACTGAATACAGTATGAAATAAAATATGATGGATACATTATGTTCTGCAGTGTGGCCCAGAGCGTGAGAATGAGCTGTTAACATTACCAGCGGAGCTAATTATTAATGTAATTATAAAACACTTATCGTCACTTAAAAAAAAGAATTGGCGTCCATCCATTCATCTCATTTTCAAAGCCAAACTCCTATATTATATTATATTATATTATAATAAATTCCTAACAAACCACATGTACCTGTTCAAGTAAGCCTTGAATTTGAAATGTTAGATGCAAAACCAGCAGTTTACTTTGACAGGACATAACCTACACTGTGTACCTTATTAAAACAAAATATCTGCATATATAGACTTGCTATGACTCATGACACATTTTTCATTATGGCTCATACCATTTAAAAACACTATTTATACATCTTAATTAGCGTATGACATCATCTGAACCTGAGAGGATTTGCTGTAGACCCAATTTCAACCAGAAGAAAATGTTTTGGTATAAATTTGCCTCATGAACCCCACCAGCTACTTCATTATTCCAGATCCTTGCTTTCCTGTCTGTTTAATGAAATACTAACTAAAAAGGTCATGACTTTAACCTCCTACACCTGCTTATAATCAAATTATACTGCATCAGTTCAGTTGGGAGGTGCAGAAGGAAACCATCCCATCCGTGCATGATGCAATGCTAACATTCAGAATGCCTCACCTGCAGGTTTAACCTTAGAGGCGATGTTGATAATTTGAGCACAAATATGCAATATTCAACATAAATTTGTTTGGCTTTTGTGAACAGAGACAAGATGAAGATCAGCACACTGTGCATTAAATATGTAACAGCTGTAGACAAACTTTACATGGGTCATATTCAAAGACTCACTGCTTCAATTCAACACCTCCCTCACATGAAAACGAGACTCACAGAAGATAGAGACGGAAACACAGACTCCACATATGTTTCTTTACTTTTTGCCCGTCACCTCGCCCGTTTATCATGAATTCAAGCCAAACTGTGCAGTGAAAAGCGATGATATAAAAATATAACAGACATTACGTGACACTTTTTCGCTTTGAAATGTCTGTACATACAGATTTCAACTCAAATATGTGACCAGAAAAGAGAAAAGCTTTTTCTGTGAACAGGTATTCAGAATTCTTAACGCTTAGTTAAAACATAATTATATGACTCATTGGGAACCTCCTGGCCTTAGTTAAACATGTAATAAAAATAAGGAAAATATCCTCACTTCACTAAGAACAGTACATTCTTGTTATGTGAAAGCTTCTCATTTGTCAAATCCAGAGCTACCATAAATATCTTCCTTAATGGTGCAAATTAATAACGGATGCTAATAGATCCACTGGTAGTTTCAAGGTGATTTATGTCATATTCAATCTCTGTTGATGTGCAAATAATATTTCTGAGAGCTCATACTAATTGCTGCAGCCATGTATTAGTGGGCGATGCATTTTAGCTTCCCAGCAGGGACGAGGAGCTGGCTCGGGAAACCTTTTTTACATTTTATTCTGAAAGAAATATATGGCTATAACATGGAGAATACCATGTTCCACATTTACTGAGGCACGGTAATGAGGTGCCGAATGGAACTGGCTGGAAATCATGATGGTGCTTGAATCTGCAAATTAGAGAACAAATTCATATTTCAGTAAAGGAGAATCACTGCCAATCATGCAGGTTTTTGCATTTGCACTTGGCGCCATTAAAAAAGGAAGAAGCATGAGTCTTTCGCTTGTGTAGTACATATATTCCAGTGCAAATGCTAAGCCTGTCCCTCCGTGCACATTTTTCCGCTTTCATGTTGTACGGTTCTGAGGTAATGCTGCATCTATCCAACTCCACATCTACCCATTAGCAAAGCACACAGATGATGTGTTTGTCATTTAACAACAGCCCCACCGAGGCTGCGATCAGATACGGAAATGATTTCAGCTAAAAGCTGAATCAACATGCTAACAAGATCATAATGACAATGTTAACACGGTGATGCCGAGCAGATAAGGTTGAAACGCGTGCTTCGTGGCCCATTCGTCTCGCATTGCAGCCTGCTGACATTTCCTGTTCAGTGCTGAGCACTAAAATACACATATGAGGTTGATTGGTCATCATTGGTTGATTGGCAGATTTTGAGACAATACATTTAATATTTGTTGCAATGTCAGTCTGTGGTCACCAGACAGCACAGCATTGCATGCTGGGAAATGGGTGTATCGCAAGTACTGGGATATGTTGCATATTAAGTTAACAAACGCACTGACCTGACCTTCTTAAAAGCTTCCAGCTATTAAAATTCCCATCGATTTGAAAAATGCATGCTTTCTACATTATTCAACATGTTCCATCAGTGACACTGTGCGGAGGAGATTCGTGGATATTTGCCAGATGCAAAGCTCACCCAGTTGGGATTTCTGAATCGGACCATAGGACCAATAAAGAACACACAATATTAATATCGCTTTGACTTAGAATGAAGGTAAAAAATAAACCCAAACAAAATATATGAAATCAAATCACGTTTCAGATTCTTCACAAATCAATAGAGCATCAAGAGGAGAGATCCACATTTTGAGCTTGGCCCAAAATGGATGGCATGTCTTGTATACTCTTTTTTTTTTTTGTTAGTTTCCAGGGAGAGGAGCATCAAAGGCGGATGAAAAGAAGAAACAAAAGGATTCCAGACGCAGCCATTTTCCAGTGCCAAGGAAAAGGACGGGACGAGAGCACAAACACGTCAGTAAAGTGTTCCAGCAAAGAGGAGAAGAAGGATGAGAGAGGAGATGAGAGCTGGATGAGATGAATGTCTAGGTTCTGTGTTTACAGATATCAGCCATATGACAATAGACTTCCTTAGTACACAGAGGCAGTAAAAGGGATGAAGCTGTGAAAGCTCAAATGTTGCTGTATTTCACATGGAAGGGGAAGCTTTGCAATATGGCTGCCATTTAAAACAATCCCAAGGAAGAAGACGTAATGCCCAACACTGTACCTTTATCTAAATTTCTCAGCGCTGTTTACATGTCTCTAATCACTATCTGCTGCATATTAAAGGTCAAAGGAATCCATCTGGAAAGGAGACACTGTAATCATCGGCCTATTTCATAAGGATTTCTATTAATTTTGTGAAAGAGGATTGACCTGGTCTGTGGTCAGATGTATTAAGGAAAGACTTACACTTCCAAACAAAGCCAGTATGAGCAGGTATCAGTTGACCCGTCGGCCCATGGCACCCATGTGATCCCAGTTGCTTTCTTGGATGGACTCTTACAGGTGGTCTACCCTCAGTCTTTCCCCTGCTCACAACCTCAGAAAGCCATTAGTGCTGGATGAAGAGATGACTGACGTAGGTTGTTTTGAAAGCTTTCAATTGGGATCATGGGAACCTGGGAAATGAAGCAAAAGACAACAGTAAGTTATCTTTTACTTTATGTCAATCATTAAAAAGAAGACACATTTTCTTTTCACTTCTGACTCACTATTTGGCACTGACTCAAAAGAAAAGGAACTCGTATGAATGCATAAACAACATGCAAGAGATGGGATTAGTGTGCGTTAGCGTGTGTGCACTGTGTCCGAGGGAATGATTGCATTTAATCAACTCGGTGTGGACATCTGTGCTGTACAAGCTGTGTGTTTGGGTACTGCTCACTGTGACAGCCTCTGTTGCAGAACATGTCTTTTGCAAAGCGAATGCATTACCAAGCTGTATAACTATTGCATTAAATATGAAGTCTTCATTGTTTACACAAAGACTCGACTGTGGTGTTATTTTATTGCCTTTCTCGAGCCTGAGACAGAAAGCGTGCCTCTCCCAGAGTCCCGCTGCCCACAGGTGTGACACACAAAGCCATATTGTTAACACTTGGCCGCCGAGTAGAAAGCAGAGGAGAAGAGGTGAATTAGTCATTAGAACCAACTGGGCAAGCTTACTCAGTCTGAGGAAAAATGAATGAACAGAGTCTGGAAAACACCTCCCTGTGCTGTGGGACCCGGGATCGACTTTTCCAAATGTTGCAAGGTCTTTGGCATGTGAACAAAAACATGTTTGCCATTAAAATAACCAGGTATAACATAAATATTACAAAGCTGCTCAAAGGATCCATAAATCAAGCTTTAAAAGTGTGCATTTGCACTTTCATAAAAACAGGATTTAGTTTTTCTTAATTGTTAGAAACAAAGTCGGGTTTCACTGTAATGAGCTCATTGATTTAACGCCCAACACAAGACATTTAGCTGGTGAACATACTAATTGCCTGGTTTATGAACCTTTAATATGAACGGTTTACTGTTGGTATAACATCAGAGGGTAAATTCTTAGCTTTCATCAGTCTAGTCTGACACTTAAGGCACACTGGGCTTTCCCAAATGTGTTTCAGAACATTTGTTTGAATTCAACTATCTTCTTAAAATTAAAATTAAATTAAAACATCCCGGGCCCAAAATTGAAAAAAAAAACAGAATAATCCCTCTGGAAAAGGTTTCAGTGCAAGCCAGGCAGAATAGTGGAGCTCATAAGAAAAAACTGGGACTAAGACACGCACTAATCTGCAGCAGAGTATGACGTGCCGATTAGGGGAGGGAGATGATGACGAGGCAGGAGAATGGAAATGGTGCTGAATGGCTCGTTTCTCAGCAGCCATGAGACGTGTGGCTGCAGCGTAAACACAGGTGTTATTGATAACATCAATTATGGCCATTTAGGCCCTAACGTTGTGACCGCTGGCTGTGACGGACCACAAAGGGGACAATACTTATTTCATCAATTACACCTGTGTTTACTTTGTCATGAAGGGCCTGTGGACAGGGGGGGGGGGGAGACACATATGGAACAGGAAAGGAGCTGATTGGCTGGGGAGAAATAACGAGGCTGATTCAGAGCAGGTGTGCAGCTGGGCAAAAAAAAAAGAAAACCCTGATCAGAAAATAAGTCAATCCAGTCGACAGGAAGTCTGAGGGCATCCGGAGACAATGCCGGACTGTGACAGCGGGGACGGTTTGGCTCCTTGAGCTTTGAATCCCTATGTTATTGTTGACTTCAGTTCAAACATGTGTCGTCATTCAGTGGTGATGAGAAAAACAACATTAATTTAATATTTTAGGTTGTTCTTTCACTTGCCTGTGATTTATGAGACATTTGAAGGCCACGCTGCGTTTTAGATAATGGAAAGTTCTTAATTGATGCAACTTTTTATTTTAATTAACCCCCATGTTCAAAAATAGATTTTTGACAAACCTACCAAAGCTCCTCCTGACTCACTGACATCCAGGTGTCATCTGAGGCAGCCTGACAGTTAATGTGTCCCAAATGCCTCATGGCATGGCTCTAATGTATCTCATTTAAATAGTAGTACAGTGGATTAATTCTGCGTGTCAAACTGGAAAATGCACAACAAAAAGAAGTTAAAGCGCAAAACTTCAGCATAGTGAGTCATGAGCTCATATGACCTGACGTGGAAACATACATCTTGTTACTGAATTTGTCATTCATCACAGTATTGAGAGGCAGAGATGACGCTGGTCACTTTTCGGCCCTCAGGTTGTAAACACGGTGTTTAAGAAAAGTTTAGACACCAAGCAACTGCACAACCATTTTAATGAAACAGATAATGTGCAGCACCGAAGTAATAATATCCTTGAAAGAATTTTTGTAATGGTAATAACATTCAGGTTATTCAAACTGTAAACTACCCTAAGAAGGAGACAAGCTTGCAGAATACAGTCACTGCATGCACAAGTGCTTCCTTCCTGCGCCACTCTGCCCGTTGACGAAGAGAGGAAACATGCAGGCCATTAAAGTTTTATGGGAGTGCAGTCATCACCCTGCACTCTGTGGCTCGATCATTAATTCATACCAAAACAGCCACGAAGACACTAAGTACCGTAGCTATGCATGGCTGTGAGGTAAAGTTGTGTTTTTGTAAGTACATAATAAAAAATCAATGTTAACTTTTTTTTTTCTATTTTAACTGTAATCTCCATTTATATTTGAAATGTACACATCTGATGGCGCACTTCTCATCCCCCATTCTTTCAATGACCCCTAGCTATTCATGCTAATTGACATGCTGCATTCCTGACGAACACATCCAATATTGAAGACATCAACACCAGAGAAACGCATGGTTTCCTGAGATGATAAATCCCCCAGTGTAATGTGTAATGGGGTAAAGTTCTAGGCCTTCAGAGAGCATGGGTGGAATTTGAGGCTGTGTTTTGTCAGTCAAACTTCTGCAAGACTCCCAATTGAATATGGATATATTATGGAATCTGCAAGCTTACCTCATTTTTTAGAGGATAAGATAAAGACATACCATGCTTAAAAAAGTGCTTTGCTAAAAAAAAAAAATAATAACAGGACCCTTGTCAAGATTTGTCACTTAAAGACTAAACTTCCTGCTTACAAGAGTCCTGAACGTCACATGACGAGTCTATGGGGCATGCCAAATACTGAGCCTTGGACACCCACGGTTAGGAAAAAGTTGTTAGAGCCAAGGGGAAATAGCTGAGGAATATTATCTGTGTGCCTTCATTACGGGGGATGAGCAGAGTAATCTCCAACCTCAAGTTTGAGGACTTTGAAAATGACACTTCTGAGCCACGATGTAGCCGACTCAGGGACAAGAGATGATAATCGTGATAATCATCGTAATTACAGCTTCACCCCTCGTTCTATTGCAGCTCAACCATGGGTAACAAGTTTGTAACTGTCACTAAAGTTCAATATAAGTGGAATGAAACTGAACTATGAAACAAGAAAACTTAACATATGCATGATTGGACTGCTTTAGCACATTGTTTAATGCTTTAAACTATTTTGGGGTTTCATTTCAGAATTGAAATCTGTGACCCGTAATACCTTATCCCTTATCCCTTATCCCTTTGGTTTTAATGCTGCATCGCTTTCATTAAAACAAACATTCACTTTCTTTCCTCTTTATGAGACACAGTGGAAACACAAGCGCTTCTTCTCACAGCAAAAAAACGTGGCAGGAAAATCAGCTATAAGCTTAAATTGGATGCTGCGCATTAATGAAACATGATGAACAAAACTTGAGATGTGATAATTCAGAGGCTGTTTTTGTTTTATAAAATGTGTTAGGGTGTATAGTAGTGACTGAAGGTTGTTACAGAACACAGTAATTACCTTAAAATTGACTGACAATACACAATCCTCCTTATCTGGTGTTTCGGTGACAGTGGTTCAGTTGAAATTGCGACAGACAAAGAAGGCAACAGCAACTGGTCAGGCAATTCAGATGAGGACACTGTGAAGGCCTAATGGAAAATGCATTAGCCCAAATGGACCTCTGATTAGGCCGCACTGACTGAATGTTCCAGACACAATAAAGAAGGGTATTCCAGATAATACAACGTTAGAATTTAAAAGCTTCCCCACACTGTACATATCCTCTCTGGCTGAAATGAAGCATAAACTCTATAAAAGCATCTTCTTCTGCGTGGGTGCACTTAAACATGAAGACTTCACTTAGCAAGCTACATAAAAAAAAACCTCTATATGGCAAAGTTTTACCATTGTTGGAAATTAAAGATAAAGCGTTTAAAACAGTCACTCGCACACTGATATTAGGTGACAGGGATTTTCCACTTTAAATCTGTCATCCAGCCCCAACTGATATTTCTCTTTCTTTCTTCCTTGCAGCCCAGGTGTTCAACACCAATCTGTCGTTGAAGCTCTGAATTAGCTTTGGTGAGCGTCGTGTGATAAAGCATCAATGGTAACCTCTGAGTTATGGGCCCCCCCGAGCAGCTGATGGACGTCATCTTCTGAAAGACGTCCCCGTGGACACAGCAATGACTCCTGTCTTTCTCCGTGGACTGTTGTCATAACAGTGTCCTGTATTGCGTCACACTCGCAGCTGCGCTAAACAGCATCGGCCGAATTCTTAACTGTGTATTGAAAAGGCAGAATTGAGAAATATATATTATTAGCACGGGTTTATCTACAACTCATGCATTCCCCAGGTAAAGAAAGATGTGTGCGTTGTAGACCAGCATGGAGTCTGCGGATGAGCAATCTGAGGGTTATTGAAAGTAGCAAATATTTTCAATTCTAATGTGTGAAACCTTATTGTACCTGACGGTCACACTAGTGTAAAGTACACCTCCAGATTCACCGGTCATTGTCATTAGCACCATCGTATCAATTTGACTGGGAGGACTTGTGGAACAGCGATGTGTTTTTATTTTGAAGCCTAAACTTTGACCGTTAATGTGACCTTGCCTCAAAATACATTGGAACTGACAAATGTGGAAAGGCTTTCCCCTCTTAGTCATTAGCAAAGTAATCCGTCATTTTGCTCTTAGTCAACTAAGATCTCTTTGGCCTATGAGCTGTTCATGTTTTTTGTATGCTAACTTATAAGCAAACTCTGGTAAACACAATATTTAAAGTGCTTATTTTGTGTGTTAGAGATCTGATTAAATCAACAAATTCATCAATTGAATATGAACTGACTAACCATGCATTTTGTTGAAGACAGGTAGCAGTACGTGCTATCAGGGAACGAGCCGTAGACTATATAGCATGCAGGATGCTTGTTGAGTGTGCACTCTAAAGGCCTCTTCCTACAAGGCTACATACTTGCACCTTTGCTGTCTAGACCAGTGAGGATGCTGCAAGCCCAACGCAACACATCGCATGACATTTTATCCAAATGTCTTCAATCAAATCAATTTCTCAATTGACTCCAGGGAAGATGGAAAGAAAGTAGAAGCGTAGAAGATAATCCCACCATGGGAGCATGCTGGTGGTAACGGGGAGGGTGTGGATTTGCTCCACTAACCCATATTTGATATTTACTACAGTCCATGTTTGTCTGCGTCCGGGAGCAGGCAGCCTGTAGACGGAACAGAAACCCTAAATTCCCCGCAGCCTGCGTGTTGTGTCCCGTCCCTGGAGACCCGGAGATAGCTGAGGCATTTTCCTGCTTTCAGCGAAATGCGGTGCGGTCTCAGCGGGAGAGCGATGCGTGGAGGCTAGTTGCGCCCCCGCGCACACCGAGTAGGCCTGCCGGCAGCGCCGTGGAGACAAAACACCAAGAAAAACAGCGAACCGGTGATGTTTACGCGCAGATGGTTTCCCGGTTTGTGTCTCTTACCGTGGGACTCTGCGATGACCTCGTCTCGGGCTGATGATGATGATGATGATGATGATGTCGGCTTGTGTCTCCTCCTGCGAGGACCCGACGCCGTCCCCCGGAGTTACGTCCTTTCGGGGAACAACACCAAAAAAAAACACCCCACGCCGCTTACGGATCATCTGACCGCAGACGAATATCGCGTGTTTCCAGCAGTTATCTCTGAGGATGCGCTTACACCCCCCCTACACCTACTCCTCCTCCTCCTCCTCCTCCTCCTCGCCCGCCTCCTGCCCTAGCCGAGCCGAGCCGTGCCGTGTGATGGCAGCCGGAGTGGAGACTGGAGACCCTCCCCCGGGGCGCAGAGCGGCGGATCAGCTGGACGCTCAGCATCCCTCACATTCCTGCATCACTGGGCGATAAAAGGATCTGTGCAGAAAATGCTCGGTTTGTTTCTTTCTTTCCTCCCACACACATACACTCACACACGCGATAGCGTTAAGCTTGACGTTTAAGCACGTGACATTTGTTCAATACATTGCACATTCCCATTGATCTTTCCATATTTAATGACCAACAGAATTTAAAATGTGTTCATATAGACTGGGCTAAGAGCTCCACGTGGATAATTTCATTTTAATTCCTAAAAAAAAATACACATTGGTCAGGGTGTGATAGTTCCGAACATCACACAATCACAGATACGGCCTTTAACGTTTTAGACCAGACATGTTAATGGAGCCATCTGCTGGCAATGATGGACCCTGAACTCAAGTTACTATAAGATCTCATCAGCATTAAAAACAGTGGCATGTTTCATAAGTTATTCCCGGTCAGATTTCAATTCTGAATGAAACCTCAAAATAGTTTAAAATCAGGTTATCACCTTGTAAAAATGTCATGTTATGGCATAAAACACAATTTTTGATATCAAGCCTTTATAGTGTGGCGTTGTTGTAGTGATTTTCTTATACATGCATTGCTGGGTATCGGTCACGTTTACTGGTACCGGTGCACAATGGAACACAAAAGCACGACTCAGACCAAGATGGGAGGGACTGGTAGATTTAATCAACAGGGCAGACAAGGTCAAATCCAAGAGGGGCAGGCATGGAATCCGTAGTCGGGAACAGGCAGGGGTCACAACCAGGGGTCACAACCAGGGTGGCAATCAGGGAGGTGAACAAATCCAAAAAAGGTGCAGGCAGGAAATCTGGGGTCGAAAGGAAAGCAGGTTCAAAACAGATGTAAATCAGGGTAACTGGGGAAAAAGCTGGAAAACTCTGCAAAACAGAAGAAATCTGGCAGGGAACAACAGAATGTGACGGGCTTAAATACCGAGTGGCTGATGAGGGGAGGTGCTTCAGGTGAGGGCAAGGAGAACCAGGTGAGGGTAATGAGCTGATTATGTGGGAGGAGTTAGATAACATGCAGTGAAGATGAAATTAAAACTATGATGTGGTCAATTGTGTGACAATATAAAATGGTTTTGACATGAATTATACAAAATTTGCATGTGTCCATATTCAGTTTCTCTATCATTCACAACTCATTTGTACAGTCACATGTTGTTACTCATAGCATGTGCTATTTGCACATAGAAGTCATGAGTCAGACATTTTTAGCTCTGAAACAACTTGAGGGCAGTTTATTCAAAGGGCAGCTGTGCAAAGGCTCCTCCCGTGATGTGCGCCCATACAAACAGGTTTTCTATCTGCAGCTCTGCTGATTTTCACAAATACATTTTCCTGCATTCCTAGAACATGTGATAAGCAAATTGAACTTATGAAATGTGTGGTGATTCTCTTGATGATTTTAGGATAACTAGGCTGCTTCTGCCGGCCTCTTGTGGAGGCTTTGTTGAGTTAATGGAGTGATCAGTGGGGGATGTACCGCTGTCAAATAAATACCTTCAAGTGGAATGATCTAAATCATTTACAAATGTTTCATTCTTTGTAAATGTGTGTCATGCACCGGGCCGCGTGGCCATGAGGGGAAACCACAAGCAAGTAGTCAGAATGGAGTTTTATTTGCATACAGTGGCATGTGGAGTCAATAGTTTCAGTGGTGGAGGTGTGTGCATGCGTTGACGGTGTGTGTCTGTGTAACGTTGCATATCGTCAGCACAAACCGTACTCTTTACCTACAGCAACAAGGTGTCTCAAGACAGGGACACACAAGAGGGCCTTTTAACAGAGTGCACTGGCACACAAAGCCCATGTGTTGCCGGTGCTGCTGATTATCTCCGGTGTTCTCACTCCCACCTGCAGGGACACCAGCCGGCAGCAGAGAGGGTTTACTCGCAATGTGGTTCAGCAGTGTGTTTAAACAGCATTTGTAGTTGAGGGACAGCTAAAGAAAGTCATAGTCACAAGGAACTTTCATAGGATTTCTGTTTTAAGAACATTTTTGAGTTTTAGGCAAAAGATTTCCTCCAATTTTTTAGATGACATGTTACCCAAATATACCTAATTTGAGTTAGTTATGCTGAGGTGGTCCAAAAAAAAAGCTATTAGTCAACGTTTTGTGATGGCTGAACAAATGAGTCTGCTGGACAAAACTTCCCAGTGTCCCAGTCAGCCGCTGTCTGTTTTCAGGCAATCAAACACTTTGTATCCCTTTTAATGTGAATCCATGACAGCAGCACTGGAAAAGAGTCTGCCTCTTTAAAAGCTGAACTTTCAGTCCATGTATTGCACTGTAATTTAATATTTAAAGAATGAATGTGCATTTGAAGTAGTGTGTTTGGGTCTATCGTCTACACACAGTTTGCTTTTTTATTTATACTTTTCTTCAGCGTGTAGTCCGCCAGCAGCACATACCACATTTCATCAGGGGGCAGTGTTGCTCTATAAATACCCATAAACAGCCAACACTGCACAGCTCTTGGTTATTCACAAAGTTGTGTGTATTTGTGTGTGTAACAACTCAATCACCTAATTTACAATCATCACATAATTTTATTTGAAGTCAAAAAGAGATCCAACCGTGTTGCTGGGCTCTGATTAAACGAGCGGCGTTGTGAGTAAGTCACGTGGATGGCTCGGCCAGCTCAAGTTCATTGACTTAAGAGAAACATCTACGCCTGCTGAAACGGATGAAGGGAAAGAAGTGTTCTCTTAAATGCAGCATATTTGTAGAGCACGTTTGTTGCCTTTAGTGTAGAAGCAATGGCGGGTTTACGCTTTTAATATTCAGCGATTTGTGTGTTTATAACAACTAAAATTTGTCAATTTACAATATTTGATGATGTGCTTTGGTCCTCTGACGCCATTCGATTCCCCAGATAATATCATATTTCGCTGGTTTCTTAGAGAAACAGCCCTGATGGTTTTAGAGAAGGTGAGTTCATGGATGGACAATGACGTACTATGTTATGGGTACATTCTCTTCCTCGAGCTCCTGGAGACCTTCAGTGAAGACAATGTTTCCTACCGACATGTCAAACAGACCTCTGTCCTGGAAAAAGGAACCCAGTCATCACTTCATTTTGTAAGCAGCAGTGATTGATTCATCCATATTTACCACAGAGCAGAAGCAAACAATGGAGACGCCTGCACTACCCATCCTAAGCCGTGCCGTTGTACTCTGAGAAGCTCCCGCTCGGCACTAGCAGGTGTGTCGTGGTGAAATAGGCCGTGATGACGCGAGTGAGCTGGCTGTGAGACGAATGTTTCTTTCCGTCCTGCCTGTTGGCTCTAAAGCCGGACGAGAAAAAAAAAGAAGATGCTGCTGTTCAGCCTCATGACAAAATGTTTTTATCCCCCATTAACCTTGACAGAGCGGGTATCAGCGGGGGATTTCAGGCGGAATTAAGCACCAGTGTCAATAGCAGGTGTGTCACTGAGCTCAAAAGGAGCTGACGGGCGAGCATGAAGCGGCCTTCGTCCTTCGTCTCTCCTCCTTTTCTTTTGGGGTCATTCCGTAGCCGTGCTCTGACAGGGACCACTGATAAGAACACGATTAAGCATCACAGACTCAACCGCAATCCAATTCATGTTCCCGGGTTTTCTCTGCACACTACAAAGAAAGCTGTGTCAGGAAGTTCTATTAGCTTTTTGATTACTCCTTTTTATATAAGCCATTCTGGTGCAAGGCCGCCTGACTTACAGCCTGAAATCCATTTACAGTACATTGTGTTTTCCGAATGTTCCCCAAAGGATCAAAGATCTCATTGAGACAAATCAGGCTGAGCTCACCGCCGTGTCTGAAACGGATCGGTGTGAGTTCGCGTAGGAGCAAGACACCGACTCTTTTTGGAAACACATGTGAAAAGGCAGATTTAGTCCACGGGGATTAGCAATCAGCCGTGAAATTCCACCCGAGATGCATCTGGGGCCCCCGTGAAAATGGAAAATGGCAGGTGCCGATCCGTCGACGGGGACCAATCTGCCTACACGTCGGGGCTCTTCGTTAAAGTCGAGCGCTGTCCATTAGAGCCTGTAATCCTCCTCACCCAGTGCCTGCACACACGACCTTGAGGTGCAACAGTACACAACAACAGCCCCCTACGTTCTCACAGAGGCGCCGTTAATGTCAGAGGCATTTTTACTTTTTGTCATTTAGGGCTGAAAAACGGGGCTTTAAAGAGTTCTCTTAACCCTTCAAATCCATGTAGAGCTGTTACACTAAAGCTAAACACAACCAGTAATTTAACTCATCGACGTGACCCCCGACCACTGCAACGCGTTCATTTTCTTTTTTTTTCACTGCGTATTACAGGGGAGAGATCAATCCATGCTCACAATAGTAGCCGCTTAATTGAGCTGGATGCACGTCAATGATTTCACTTAGACGGAATCATCAAGATTCAGACAAGCACCTGTTCTTTTATGCGGCTGTAGAAGACTGGCAGGAAAAACGATTACGGGGCCCATTTGTTCTCCATAGACAGTTGTGACCTTTCCAATTGGCACATCGTTTTACGAATATGACGGCTTTTCTTTCCCAAAACCAGGAGTGATCTTGCAGTTAATATGCACATAAATTGCATATTGCATATATGAGTGAGAACATACTCTACTGTCAGCGAGTACATTTTTTGGACAATGGATGTGGCAGTTGCCTGTAAAAGTTTGTACCCATTAAACTCGTCTTTCAGCTCCACTCGCACAGTTAGTAGGGTCCGTTTGAGCAAATTATTTTTATTATTGAATGTACGT